AGTGCTCTCAGTCCTCCTTATATTTGCCATCCCTATATTCCTTAGAGCTGTCTTCTTGTTACCCAGTTTCTTATGACTCTAATCTGCTACTGGAGTTAACAATTTTCCATATTAAACTCTCCCTGCTAAAATCACTGTGTAGTTTCAATCTCATTATTGCACAGAATGATACATCCCCCAGCTCTTCTGATGGGACCAACTTCTTCCCAGTCACCCTCAACTTTTAGGCCCTAGCTTAGGCTTGGGCTTGTGACCCCAACCTATTCGATCTGATCCAAGAAATTGGTTCTGGGAAAGGCAAATCACATTCAGTTTAATGAGACCCAATCCTGAGACCTTCTCCCAGCCACATCACCCTTCCTCATATTATCCTCAAATGACCAACACTATAATTTTGTCGAACTGATCCTATCCATGGCGTGGGGGATGGTAAGGGAAAGGAGTAAGTGCTGACCAAATTTTAAAAATCACCACATCCCATTCCCCTCCCCCCAAATAATTAACTCAGAGATAAGTACCTAACTCATAAGCCAACAGGACTGACAAGACTATGGAACTTTTATTTGAGCTATTAGGGAAGGGAATTTACTCTTCGAGAAAAGGTCCTACAGAGAAGAGGAGATAGGAACCTGGTTCTTGGCATATTTTTGTGCCTTGATCAAGCCTTGCCTGAAGCTAATTTCCTCTAGACTTCTTCATTTGCTGAGCCAATATATTCCCTTTTTAAAATACCACGTTGAGTTGGGGTTCTCTTATTTAAAGTGGAAAACATCCTAATTCTTATATTTTTATTCTAGGTGAGATCACAGCAATATGCACTTGTTCCCAACATGCAGAGCTTGCTTTCTTTATGTCTCCCCCAGTAGCCTATAAAGTTTTGAAGGCAGGCGCTGAGACTTAGTCACCTTTGAAGTTATCTAAGCACAGTGTCTTGTATATACTAGGCATCCAGTAAATACTTCTTGAAAGGATAACTGAGTACATAAATTCCAAACAGCCCAGCTGCATGAAGTTAATGCCATGATAGCTCCGACAGAAAAGATATGCTAAGGGACACCTGAGTGGCCTAGTCGGTTAAGTGTCTGACTCTTCATCTCAGCTCAGGTCATGATCTCGGGTCTTGGGATCGAGCTCTGCATCCGGCTCCATGCTCAGTGGAGAGTCTGCTTGAGGATTTCTCCCCCTCTCCCTCTGCCCCTCCCCCTGCATTCTCTCTCTTTCTCAAATAAATAAATCTTTAATTTAAAAAAAAAGATATGCTAAGAACTGGGGCAATAATTTCTATCTTTATAATCAGAGACAAGGCTATTTTACATCAATTAACTGCTATTCTTCACCAGAGCTACATTAGAGCTGAACGACTAAACAGGCAACTATTGAGAAATAATCCATTACTGAGGAACACAACACTATTTTAGGCTAATGTCACAAAAAGCACAGGTAATATTAAAGTCTGCCTCATCAACACCTTCCAAACAAGGGGAGAGCAGCATTAGATCTGGCCCCTGATGGCTATGAAGATCATCTGACTTCTCTGGGAAACTGATTAAGGGACTGTTGTTTCGCTGTTTTGCCATTCCACTTTCTAGAGAAATTCTGAGATAATCAAGAACATCATTATTCCAGCACCTAGCCTGAGGATAGAAGAAAGGGGGTTGTTTTCTCTAATACATACATGTCAAGATGAGTTTGTGTGTGTAATGCCATCACCAATGCTAAGAATTCACAATACATTCTGATTACATTAATTCAGAGTCTAGGGAAAATAAATATCCCTCTTCATGATCATCGATTGCAATTCAGGATCCCTTGAAAAGTCTAAAATGCCACCTATCAACCTACTGACAATGTCAACTGATTGCAGGATACATTGGGTGACTGGCTAGGGAATCACTCACCAGCAACTTCAACAAGGAAAGTGATTATAATTCAGTATTTTTTAATGATGTCTGATGTGCAAATGATTACTTTAGCTTTGCTCAGGAACATGAAATTTCCACCTAGGTGATAACCCAGCTTTGAACTATATTTCACCCACTATTCCATCACTATCGTCCTGAATTTAAACAACTACAGTAGCAAAAACCTTTTGCAGTCATGAGAATCCTTAACATGTTTAAAAAAGAGCTCAACATTAAAGCATAACAAACTTGCATAACAAAACAAGGAGCTTCATATGGGCAACCAGAATATTTGTATGTCATGTGAAAAGACAGCTCTTTAGCAGTCACGTAAACGTAAGTTTCCGAACATAATTTTAAGGTAGCGGATGTAAAGACCTCTACCCTGCCAATTCACACCCTCTCCACAGATATCCTAATTCTTTACTCATCTTTACAGTGTGAATTATACTTGACTACTTGATTTGCTGACAATTACTTATTGGGGTGCAGGGCAGAGAATGAAAGTGGGTATTTTAGGAGAATAAACCAACTATCCTTCCTCTACTCAGTGTATTATTGATGGAAAAACATGAATATAAGTTTCTGATAAGGGAATTCCATCTGTGTTCCTGTAAGTTATTCAGAAATGAGAAAAAATCATTATCTGGAGAGAAGAGCAATAAAAATATGGCATACGGCCTAAGAGATAAAAAGTAAAATGCATAATGCTTAAGCCTAAAAAGGTTACCATGGCAGGAAGCTGCAGACTCATGGAGGGTATTACTCAAGCATCTGAACCAAAAGAAAACGGAGACACTACTTTTATGGAAAAACCACCTGTCACTCTTTTTTTCTTACCTATGTTTGTGGTAAGGAAACTCATTTTTTTTTTAATCTGGAAAAACCCTTAGAAAAGGTGTAGATGACCATTTCTAACCTGTCCCATCTAAACACATAAAGATATTTTCTTCATCTGAGTTAAAAACAAATAAGTAGATGCTTGGAGACACTTGCTTGTTCATGAGAGAATGAGCTTCTACGGAAAAGAACGAAAAGCAAAAGCAGAATTATATACCATGTTCATTTGTAATGGATTGTTGACACGCTGTGGGTTTTTTTCGGGGGGGGGGGCGGAGCAACAGCCCCAGGATATGAAACCCTGCCTGAGCTGAACCCACAGCGCAGACCGGCCACTGCCTGGTTCAGCGGCCGCCCCGGCACTGCAGTTCCTCGTCGCTCCACAAGAGAGCGACATCCCACCGCGGCTGCCTCCGCAGAGGCTGCGCTCTAAGCAGAACAAATGTTATTTAGTCTACGATCATTTTTAATTTTACTACTGACAGTCTGACAGGACTACTTAATATTGCTGGGTGGACCTTTCCGTGATTTTGTGCTAAACACCCCCCCCCATTTTTTTTAAACTTCCCTTAATCTGCTGTGTCGGGAAGAGAATACGTTTGACTCCACAGGACGACAGGCCCGCGGTGATATGATCAGTAGACAGCCCTGGTCGAAACAAGTGGGCAGAAAGGCAGGATTACAGGCGGGAACTGGGGCTGTACATCACACAGCACCCTGGATGCACGAGGAGCCCTCTCTGCATGTGGGCAGCTCAGAGAGAATACTCAGCCTGTCCTCACTCCGTAAGAATGGCTGAACGGCGCGTTCCAGGCACAGAACACTAACATATGGGATGTAAAGTTAATTTCTTTAGGTTCAGTCCTGTTCTCCCCTGGGAAAGGAAGATTGTCCATCTGGGGGAAGATCTTTCTGAAAATGTGACCTTTGAAGACGCAGCAGGCTGTAAGGAAAAGATAACAAAACTTTTTCTCCCACACACGTGAGAACAAAGTAATTTGTTGCTCAAAAGATGCACATAGCACACTCGGAACCTCAGGAATGACAACCACCGGTGCAGTCTGCAAGGGGTTCCAGGGGTCTGAAAATAGCAACATGGTTGCCATTTACCACACATTTACTTTGCACCAAACTCTGTAAGAAATGCTGCATAGGAATGGCACCCATTTTAAATCTCTCACAACTCTGAGGGAAATACAGCCATTAGCCCTGTATTAACAGATAAAGTGTCTGATACGTAAGGAGGTTATGTGGTGGATGACAAGACAGTAATGGCCACAGCTAGGGGAACTAAACCAGCAATAGGTTGATTCCCAAAAAAAGAAAACCCGTGGTTCACATCCCATCATCTAAGGACCCTGAGATTAGTCCAAGGTTGGTGCCAATTGTCCAGGAATGAAATTCACTGAGGTCATGGAATAGAAACTCTCTAGGCAGAAGTCATATTCCGAAGCAATTGAGTTACATCATCTTAGTTCAGAGGACTGAACTATCCTGGTTGCCCATAGATGCCAGTCAGCAACTAGAAAAGCAGAGAGAGGCCTAGTTGTCAAGGACTTCAAAGGTTGCCTTGGCTCCTGGTCCAATAAAATTTGTGACGAGGGTAGGGCTCCACTTCCATCACGAAACAAAAATGCTGAAAGAAACCAAGGAACTATGACAAGCGAGGCACTTATAATAGGGGTCTATGGGTTAGTAGGACATGTAACTGCCCAGTTATGTTAGATGCTAGGCTTGGTGCAACAAGATTGACCTTAGCCAAGAGATGTGTAGACAGGGCTCTTTATTGCCAGACTAAAGTACGTTCAAAGTCCCTAATTCTACAAAAGTGCAAGGCTGGAGCAGGTAACAAAATGTAATTCAACACATGATCCATATTAAGGTGGGCATAGGTGGTCATTTGGCCAGCTAACCAGAAGAGCTGACCTCCTCTGAATTACCACATGGAGCAGCACTAATCTGAATCTCAAGATAGGGCCAAGGCAGGTCCACCATGCTCAGCCTCTGCAGCCTAAAAGAATATAGTTTTGCACTCCGAGAAGTAAGGGAGGGATCCAAACTCAAGTGAATCCTCTATAACTTTTTGAGTATATTATTGAATATAATTTTAGCATTAGAAAAATTGGGGGGTATGCCACTTGGGTGAGTAAGCATGCTGGTAAGCAATGAAACATCATTAGAGCAGTTCCGAGCTCCAATATACTTAGTCAGTATTGCCACCCCCCCAAAGCAAAGTTTTGATAAGTTCCACATACGTACAATTTTCAGATGAGATAAAAGTCTCATGACATCCGCCATGTCTGCCAGGATGAGTAAGCGTGTTACAGCTGAGAGCAAAGCCCTCGCCGCCCGCACCATGGTGCCACGCTTCACCGATGAGCACGGGTCATCAGCAAACTCTGAAGAGGCGATGCGCATTGTCTCGCCTGGAAGACAAAGACAGAGAGGCATGTGGGTGGACGGGAAGCTCAGAGGCTAGCAATCATAAAGATCTGTGCATGGATGATTATTGTTCCTATTGTAAAACCCGCCATGAACAGAAGTCCTCCTGCCACCTCCATCACAGCCCACCTTTCAAGGCAAATGCATCAGTGCATGTTGGACAGGGGCTGTGGACAAAATAAGGTGTTCATTTCACACAGAAGTGTGAAATTGTGCTTTAAACATCAATAAGGAATATATTCAATTCCATTTGTCTAATAGTTGAGATGAATTTGCCCTGACCTTAATCATTGTCACTTTCCATTTCCCTTGGAAGCAATGGGATTTACTAGGCAGCTAGTGAAGCTTACTGACAGTTGAGGTACAACGTAAAGTGCTCCACAGAGGAATGAAACTAAAACCCTGGCCTCATTAACAGTGTACTCTTAATTGAACTGATCAGACAATAATAGACTACAGAGATACCCAAATGTACTCTTTTAATACTCTGCTAAGAAGCTATTCTCTAATAGAGAGAACATTTATAGGAGAATTGAACCAATTCAACAAACCCATACTATGTCAGATATTATTAAGCTCCGGAATTACAAAGGTGACTGAGGACACCCTAGTCTCAAGGGGTTCACCATCTAATAAGGGAACATGATGTAAATACATATTCATAGTATGTATGACTACATATCACAATACACATACGATTAAGCATGTAGACAAAGAAGGGGGAGTGATTTACTTATTTAGTGTGAGGCTGGGAGAAGCTGTCAACTTTGATGGGCTTTGAAGAACGAAGAGGTATTCCCCAGAAAGACAGCGGTGGGAGGAGCACCCCTGGCAGGGTGGATGCCATGTGAGGCTCTGAACGCTGGAGCAGGATACTGAGTGTGAGGAACTACAGTCACGTGGGAGGCACAGTGAGGAAGGGGTACAGAGGAGAGGTGGTGGTGTTTAGGAAGCTATGAAAGAGATCCAAACGGGGTCCTCAGCAGGGAGGGAAGTGACATTAATAGATTTTTATTTTGGCTACATTTCATAAAATAAACTGAGGGAGATAAGCTAAGGGCAGAGACACAAGTCATTAGGGCAAGGGCATTAGAGTCTGAGAGGAGCAATAACGAGGGCCTGATGGACCAGGGAAATAGAAACGGGATACAGAGAGGAAGGGAATATTAATGAGATTTGTATTAGAGAAAGACCGGATTTAGGGACTAACAAGAGGTGGAGACCGGAAAGAAGGTGGAATGGTTGGTGAATACTAAGTATTTGTACAAAGGGACCCAGGAGTGGGAAGTAAAGGGGATTGATGACTAGGATGACACATGTCCCATATCAGTGGACTGGGTGTATCACCGGGGGTCGAAAGGCCTGGGAAGCAGCATAATGAAGCTTCGCAGAGCAGAGCATACACAGTGGCAATAAAAGCTTTGTCAGTAAACTTGAAGAACAGTGTTAATATGACCAATTATTTAATTTAGGGTAAAACAATTCGTTCAATATTTCATTTATAGAAATGGTTATTTCTCATCTGTTAATCAAAACCCAGCTCATTTAAATAAAGTCAATTGTACCATTGAAACACTGGGCATCCTGTAATTTATCCTAAGATACAAAAGAAAAAAAAAAATAACACCTCTTACCATTTCACAAGCAGATCAGAATATAATGTAATTCACTCAGTGTTATAGTTACTTAAACCCTCGAAGGGATACTTTTCATGCTTGGGAAATGAGGGTGTGTCAGGAAATAGAGTGCGCTGTTAGATTTTTAAAAGAAGCTACCATCTACAATAAGCATATTATATAGCCAACCAGCTTAGTCCCAGTGCCTAGACACAAACAAATAGCTTGATATATAACAGCTTGGGAGAAATGTAACAATCCATTACCGGACAGGCACAAATTCACAAAGGTGAATTTCCAAGATGTCTGGCCCTCCAGGACTAAATAAACTTTAAGATGGAGGCTGGCAATTAGGAAATACATATTTAATTCAGGTGTCCCACCCTTGCTACAACAGGATTACATAAATCTCCTCATCCCCCGAACCCTGAAAAAAAAGGACTCATTGGCAGATATCCATGCCGTGGGGAGAAAACCAGCTCATTCTCACTCTGCGTCGCGCAGCGGGAAATAACATTCACAATGGTAGGTGAATCGAATGAAATATGGAGAAGGTCACTACAGCTAAAGATGGACATATCTGCATATGGTATTAATGGGTGGAGCAGCTGCTGTGGAATCAATCTACTTACTCAAGGAAAGCAGAGATTTATTCTGCATATAAACCTAGTGAACTACATGGTTGATCCCAAATTCTGCAAGTTAAACTGGTATATGAGCCACAGTAACAGTAGGTCACTCAGGTAGGGCTACTCTGTACACAAAGGACCCTGGGAGGCGAGCCCAGTTGCACCGCTCAGCATGTGGAGGAACCATGCCTAATGAAACTAATATTCAAGGTCAGGTTTTTATATAGAAGGTCAGTATAATGCCACTTAATCCAGGTGCTGGCCATTCGGTCAGCAATACTGCTTCAAAACTAGGAGTAACACACAGCAGCATAAAGCTGTCAGGTGCAGCTCACTGACCTGGGGACACCCCCCCCCACGCAAAACAGGCACCCCAGGAAGGGACTCTGGAGATGTCCGTGAAAGGGGAGGGGCGGGGGGGGGGAAGGGTAGAGGTTGAGAGAAGGAGAGAGACCCACATTAGTAAATGTGATTCTGCAAATGGAAATCTCATGCTAAATTCTGAGATTATTCTAAGATAAATAGAAGATGATTTAATTCAATTTAAATTACAACTAAAAACTCATTTTAAGCAGGTACAAATGATTTCATGTTGTTAAAGATTTTAAAGGAAAAGCAATCTGAAGTCAACTACAACTTTAATGCATTTTATATCCCTGTAGTTTTAAGATTACTGAATTAAAATGGAAATCTATATTATGCAATGATAAGCGAGTTTATCAGGATAAAATTAGCTCTTTTCCCAGGGAACTGCTTTTTCTGTAAGACTAAAATATTTAGCTAAGAAACAGCATGCATGTGTAGGAGATGGAAGGGATCAATGAAGAGGGGAAAGAGATCTGCCTGTTTCTTTTATATATACCATTGTGTTCAATCTCAATTACTTGATATGGACCTAAGCTCTGAGCAGGGTGTCTCTAGTAAAGTCTTTGGTCTCCTCAAGCCACTTACCACCTGCTGGAAAGAATAAAAATTAACATCTCCAAATAAGTGACCAAAGGGAAATAATAGCAATTAATATGCACACAGCATTTTTATATAAAGGTTTATTATATAAGTATTGTTCTAAAAACTATATATGGATATATTAAGTCATAGATTAAAAGATAAGTAATCTTTAAAATCACAAACCACACCAAACATTACCAAAAATTAGACTTGAGGATTATTCAACCTTTGTGTTTCAGTCACCTCAACTGCAAAACATGGGGCCAAAATAATGAGAGCAGCCTTGTGGACTGCCATTAGGGTTAAAGGTTAGAGGTGATGCAGTCAAAGCCCCCAGCGCAAGGCTTACTCATTATTGTCATTAATACTACTGCTACCACCATCGCTGTGTCCTTTCCGTGACAAGAACAGCTCATGAACTCCTGGTTAAATGTTTGGAAGTGCTTTTTGTTGGTTGATTCCACTCCTGCATACAAAATAATTTAGAAGCAAGAAAACATCTGCCCAATAAAAATATTTACTGTTTTGAGGCAGAAAATGACTCCCCTCCCAAACGGTCCCACTGCTTGGCTTTCAAATTGGTGCTTGTTCTGGTTCCTATGCCAGTGTGGCAGCATGGGGGGATGGACAGATAATTGTACATAAGCTTGAGGTAATATCCACTCAAATGTGGAATGATGCAGGATGGTAATAATACAGAGAAGAGAGGGATAACATGCAGAGGACAGAGTCTCAGGAGTAGAAAAGTCTTTTCGGAAGCAGATTATGAACCAAAATGGCATGAATACCATGTAGTGCATCCTTTGAAGGGGGAGCCTGCATGCAACAGAAGCTCTCTTTAAATACTTGATAAATGAACTATGGGAAAACTGTGAGAAGTCGGGGGGGGAGGGTATGATGAAAAGCTAGGTTCAGAGAGTGTTAAGCTGTCTTCCAGAAAGTTCTCTATGCCTATATGTTTAACCAGCATTTATCATATGTAATATCTAAAACTGCATATTCTCTTTTGTCTAGTTATATAAATTCTCCTTTAATTACATAGATTTTTCTTTGTCTAATTGCATAAAGTATCTAGCATATATTGATGGTTCATGTTCTTGATGTTTTCCCATTGTAGAATTCCTAGAGAAGATGAGAGGTAGAGAGCAAAAAGTTCTAACCCTCGGGCGCCTGGGTGGCTCAGTTGGTTGGGCGACTGCCTTCGGCTCAGGTCATGATCCTGGAGTCCCGGGATCGAGTCCCACATCGGGCTTCCTGCTCAGCGGGGGGTCTGCTTC